ACACATACTGATATATATTTATGTGTGTATATATAAATAATTCCACATAATAAATTTATCAATACAATCATCATTAGTGTCCCTGCAGAATAACTGTTCACCAGTTTCACGTGAAGGATCCCTACATATAAAATGTTCGTTGTATTATAACCCATTTCACAGAAGAAGAAAGTATCAAATTAATATTAGTAACAGGACAAAATTATAAGAAATAGTATAAGCTGGGAACATAAACCAGTTTAATTCATTATGGATCCAGATCATAATAACTGTAACTTTATTGGCAAACTTCTCTTTGGGAAGCAGTTAGAAATATAAAAGACTTTTTTAATATGAAATTATCTTTTTTTTTCATTTTTCACATAATTTTTCATATCAGGTTCAGTAAAAATGGTTGGTCCTTACAGAAATTAATGATCTTGCCAACAGACTAAGTTTATATTAAACTAGCAAGACTAAACTAAAATGGTTATTATTCATCTTACCCAACTAGCTAGCACGGTAAATCAGTAACTGAGTTTTGTATATTTTTCAGATATCAAAGTATATGTTACCCGCACGAAGTGGGGAATAAAACTTTTGTTGTGATGGTACGCCCTTGCTCCTTTATAGCATCTATAAAGTTCGCATTAAATATTTTAGCTGTGCATGCGTACCAGTTATGTGAACCCATGGTGATAACGACTAGTTTAGCTGGTCCGTCGTACTTTAAAAATGTTCACTATTTATTGTTTGTTTCATCTTTTACAGCATTAACTGGCTATCTATTAGATTTCAAACATTCTAAGTATATATAGAACCTTATGGTGTGTTATCGTAATAAGGTTATAGTCCATATTTGTACACTGTACATTTAATGTTTAGTGGTAAATCTGAGGACTTATAATACTAGTAATCGAACCTAGATAGTTCTAGTGGGCACAGCATAGATAGCCCATCATTGTACTTATTTTTCTCACCTTGTGTTTAGGTTTTCCAGGAAATGCAGCAGCTGGATCCAGAGAGTGAAAATCCTGAACTTGTAGACAGGTTTAACAGTCTTTTCCAGGAATTTCATAGAGAAGCTTCCCTGCTGCTCAATGAGCTGATGAATTTAGAAATGACTCTGATAGACCAACTAGAAGTAAGAGAGTATTTATTTCTCTACATGTTGCACACTAAATTACTACACACTACTTATTAAAGTCTATCTTACTTCACTTACTGACTGATGAACACATTTTAATAATCAGGTACATTCATGTAACCTTTTCTATTATTTGTATCTTAGAAAAATACTGGTTCAATTAATAACGACTTATACCAGCAGTAATAACAATGACGATTTTAAACGGTTATCTATTAAACAGATACATTCATGTAACCTTTTCTATTATTTGTATCTTAGAAAAATACTGGTTCAATTAATAACGACTTATACCAGCAGTAATAACAATGACGATTTTAAACGGTTATCTATTAAACAGATACATTCATGTAACCTTTTCTATTATTTGTATCTTAGAAAAATACTGGTTCAATTAATAACGACTTATACCACCAGTAATAACAATGACGATTTTAAACGGTTATCTATTAAACAGATAAATTTAATATATTTTTTAATGTAACATAAAAAATATTTGGATATCAACAGTATTACCTGCTACTCCTATTTATAAACACTTCACAAACTAATGGAAAAAAAAGTTAACATGTTGATCTAGATTAACAGTAAGTAAAAATCCATCTCAGTGGGAACGTTACATTAGCAGAATAATTGGAGGTTATATCATTAACCTTTATAGTTACAGCACTATCGTGATTTTTAATAGTTTCACTACATGTGAATTGTTTGACAAATTTTTAAAGACTATTATGATATACTATTTTGTCTATCTTCAGATATATCATCCTTTCGTTCATCAATGTAAAAATGTTAATTTGTTTGGTATTTCTTAGGAGTCATAATATTTTTGTTATTAGTTTCACTACATGTGAATTGTTTGACAAATTTTTAAAGACTATTATGATATACTATTTCACTAATAGTTTTATCATCCTTTCGTTCATCAGTGTAAAAATGTTAATTTGTTTGGTATTTCTTAGGAGTCATGATATTTTTGTTATTAAGAAAATAATTTCTGTAGTTTCACTGGAATACAGTTTTTACAAAATGTATTAACTTGTATACATAAACTCATCAAAGAGCAAATGGGAAATATCTAATATACCAGGAAGTTATGAAAGTAAACCAGTTATGTTTGTTTAAATTGATACGTAAATGGCACATGTCAGGAAGTAATATAAAAATTGTTTTCTTGTCTGTATCCGTAGGAGATACACAGGGAGTTTGAGCATCAGTTAACAGAGATGGTCAGTAGTTTTGTGGAAGTGGTTCAGGCTTACATGACTCAGCTTCGAGAACTGGAACAAGTCTACACAGAACATGTCAGTGAGCTGACGATATCTTGTCTGGAAAGGTTTATTAGAAATGATGCTGAACTGGATCTACCAGAAGGCCTGCATGTTGTAAGTACAATAATAGTGTTATAAACACAAATATATATAGAACAAGAATATACTTGCTTTAGTTGACAAACAACAACATTATAAACTAGTATGATAGTCACATTATTAAATTGCATCTGGTCTTATCATGTTTTAAAATTCAAAATTGTATTGTTTCGTATCTGCTTGTTTGATAATTTCCAGTAGAACTTCTTTCTGAGGAACTTCAGCGATACAAGTCCTTTCTTGATTAAACCAGTTTATTCTTTCTCGATATAACTTTTTGTAATACACAGAAGTTCCACAGTCACTTTAAACTTAACAACTTTATAACACACGTTATAAATCACAGTGATTCACACACTTTACTTATGGTGCCTACTGTTTGCTTGACTCAATTATCTATCTGCCCAACACACTGGTTTTTCTCGCCAGGCTTATATATTAAAAAAGAGGGCAACTCGATCAGACTAGAGTTGCCGGGTAAATTCATGATCCTTCGAGAAACTCCAGCACGCATTCTCTCAGCATCGCGTGATTTCCGCTGTCGTAACAGTGTAATATCATGCATCGTACCAGATAGATTTACATACTGTTCAAGAGATTCAGAGGCCTCTTAGTGGTATTTGATACACAAAATTCTAAGTGCTGTATATATATGCTTCTGTTCCATTCTTTGTTTTATAGTATGTAAGTAGACTGAAAATTATAGCTTTATTTTGTGTCAGTAGTCTAAGAAATGTATGGTTTATAATTTCTGAGAGAAGAACATCCATTTTAATACAGTAACTTTTTCTAGTTTTTCTTAGTATATATATATATATATATACACACATATAAAGTGCCGGAATAACAAACACTTGAAATTTGAAACAAAAATGTACAGGATAGGCAAGTCATGAATTTCATTCACTTTTCACAATCTGACAAACGTCTTCTTTCTTTGAGTCATATGGATACATGATATAGGAGGTTAAACACAGGCTTTCCTCCCCTTGGCTACGGAGTCTTGACACATTTATCAGTCTGAGTAATGTGGCACCACCATCTATAATTTCTAACCATTATATTATTATCAAGTCTTACATAATGTTAAAATGTAACAGAACAACTCAGTTTTAATTTGATGATGAGAAACCCACTTTTGGGCAATAAAGTTTGAAGATGTCTTGAATGGATAATGATGAAAACTTTATTACAAGTTTAGCATTGTAATGTTACTCTTGGGTTCTTAGTTTACTCCGTTAGTTAGCTAATACATTCAAACCTGAAGGACCAGTTGAACAAATAGCTTTTATTTAACATTCATGCTGTTAAGACGTAGTTATTAGATTGTAGTCAGCAATTCACAAAATGACTGTTTAATTTTAAGGAAAAGAACACAAGTTTTTAAAGCAGTTGAACTTAAAATTATCGATCATAATCGTACATATCCACAGTTTCATATAAAATAGTTGATCAAAATATGCTTTCATTTTTTAGGTGTTTGTTGACAAAGACACAGTTATGAGTGCGATAAGTAGCTCTCACGAACAACATCTTGCTGTTATTGATGAACGTGAGGATACTCTTGTATCCAGGATTTACACGTGGATGAACGAGCTTGTGAACGAGTTAAATTTGGAAGAACAGGACAGAAACAGACACAAAGTCCTGGAAATCAACCATTTCATAGACAACCAGAGAGAAGAGGTGGATGAACTTCGAGAGCTCGGTAGTCAAGAAGAAATAGACTAGTGGTTATATTCATCCACAGAAACGTGAATTGTTCTCAGTTGAAAATCTTTATATATGTATATATCCAAATGTAAAATTTCATTAGTAGGATAAGGTAATAAAATAAATGACATTAAAAGACTTTTTTTTATATTTTAACTGCCTTAATTAGATGTTAAAAACTAATGAAATTCATTCTAAATATAGGAATTTCTTAAATAATTTCAGTTCATAGTACATTTGTTTAATGCATAGTTTTCTTAAATACACAATTTATTGTTACAGGAAAACTAACTAGAAATTTCATATCATGGTATTAAATTGGCCATTTTCATCTAATGTATGGTGACCCGCTCCTCTGAGCCAAAACATTGCATTTTTTACTATATAAAAGAAACGTACGCACAGCAAAGCTGTTCACGATATTAAACGGCCTGTGGGATCATCATGCATGTATTTACTTCTTTCCCCCCACAAAGCATGTTCTCTAATCTCTATAACAAAATATAAAAGTGACCAGTCCAGTAAGAATTGAGATCCATTTGTAAGTGTTTTATGTAAATGTAGCTTTTACTTTTATACTTTTTCTAAATCGTAGTTGAACTATTATTATAACTTAAAATTATACTTGTCATAAGACATTAGTATTAGGCCTAATACTAATGTCTTATGACAGTATAATTGTAATCATTATTCACATCATAACAATTGTGTTATTATTATAACTTAAAATTATACTTGTCATAAGACATTAGTATTAGGCCTAATACTAATGTCTTATGACAAGTATAATTGTAATCATTATTCACATCATAACAATTGTGTTATTATTATAAGTTAATGACAAATTTTAAACTATTTAAAATCAATCCCCAGTTGATCAGCGATAAGTCTAAGGGCTTATTATACTAAAAATCAGATTTCGATACTCGCACAGATAGTTTATTGTGTAGTTTTATGTTTCACAACAAACAAGACCTGGCATGGCCAGGTGGTTAGGGTGCTCGACTCACAAGCTGCGAGTCGAGGAATCGAATCCCCTTCTATACCAACATGCTCGCCCTTTCAGCAGTGGGGGCATTATAATGTAATGGTCAATCCCACTATTTGTTGGTAAAACAGAAGCCCAAGAGTTGATGATCGGTGATGGTCCCACCAAACATGCTCGCCCTTTTAACTGTGGGGGCATTATAATGTGATGGTCAATCCCACTATTTGTTGGTAAAAGAGTTGGAAGTGGGTGGTGATGGCTAGCTGCCCTCTCTCTATTTTTTCACTGCTGAATTAGGGACGGCTAGTGCAGATAGCCCTTGTGGAGATTTGCGCCAACTTTCAAGCAACAAACAAAACTGACTTCAAAAGAAAACAAGAAAAAAAAATACAACCTCACAGACATCATTATTATCATATCAATAATCTAAGATAGTATAATTACAATAAAAAAAAATTTCATTTTTTTCCCCCACAAAATTAATTATTTTAAGTCCCAAATTCCAGCAGTGTTTGAAATTGTTGAATTTTAATTTAAGAATATGTTCAATAATAAGCTCTTAAAATCAGTGTGTATAATTTTTTTTATGTACTTTGAACTTCAAGATTAATAAAATCTGGCATATTTTTTTTTATTTCAACGGTATACATATGTTCAGTTCTGTTTTTTTAGTATCACTAATAGTCCCAATTTTGACTCACAATATTGTTACGTCTCTGGTCGTTTGTTAATTTCCCGAATAAATTCTTTCCGAGAAACTTCAGCGATACAAGTCCTTTCTTAAATAAAACTAGTTTATTCTTTCTCAATACAACTTTGCAATACACAGAATTTCCACAGTCAATTTAA